TTAAGATATGGAAGTTTTCCACAACTGAGTCTGATGTGTGTATTCCGCCTTAACCTGAAGCCTGCTTTTTGGCTGGTTTCCTAGGTCTTTCACGGCAGCATGTCTTCTCCAAATGTGTCTTCCCCACTTTTTTCAATGTCTCTGAAAATAGGACTGCAGTGTTAGTCCATTTGAACATACAGAGATACTCCCTCCTGGCTGACATTACCAGGCACTAATTATATTTCTCAAGATTGTTCATAACCATAGCGCTAATTATCCTCTTGTTATGCTAAAGCCAGCCTTAAACATGGGCCTTTTGGGGTCTTGTAGCTGGAGTTCTTGAATGTGGCCAATGGGCATATGGAAAGTTCTGTGTCTTGTGCATCTTTTAGACTTTAGAGGAAGTAAGAAAAATGATCGGAATATTGGGGGAAATCCGGTCTCTTGAATCCTCACATTAGTGTCCATGCAGTTGACCAAAAGCGGCAGTCAGAATTGGATGCCAGTGTGCTGGGAGGAGAATATTCCTGTCCCAAAGAATCTAATCAAGTCTAAAGCAAAGAGCATCCAGCAGCATTATACATAGGGAATGCAGAAAAGCCTCTCCTGGATATTCTTGCAGCTCGTCTTCCCACTGAGAAATGTATTGAAGACTCTTCTAGCTTCCGTTCTTTGGGGACTGCCCTGTCTGCTTCCCGGCGGGGGAGGGAGGGGGCGGGGCAGGGAAGAGTTAATTATACCGGGCTGAGTGACGTGGGGCCTCCTGGGCTGTATAGAGAGCCTGGAGTTGAGCAACTGGAGGCAGATCACACGCCCAGTCTGGGAGGCATTGCACAAGAAGGGCAGGGCTTGAACAGCCAATGGCAGCGGGGCCGGGACAGCTCATATTCGCGTGTCATGAGACTTGCCGGCGTTTCCTTTCCCTCGGGCACTGAAAGGCTCTAGAGTAGGTCGCGCCCGCCCGTCCCTGCCTTGATTGCCGAGTGGGTCGGTGCCTGAGCTGCTGGGGCGGAAACATGCTCTGCCTGTGTCTGTACGTGCCGGTGTTCGGGGAGTCCCAGACGGAGTTCGAATACTTTGAGTCAAAGGGGCTCCCTGCCCAGCTCAAATCTATCTTCCGCCTGAGCCTCTTCATTCCTTCCCAGGAATTCTCTACCTACCGCCAGTGGAAGCAGGTATGGCTCCGGAGTAGGGTGGCAGGAGGAGGATGGGGTGCCGCGGGGAATAAGTGGTGTGTCCAGAGCTTCTGGCCTGGCTGGCTTGGCTACTGATGGGAAGCAAGCTTGGTGGTGGTCTCTGCTGCTCATACCTACAGCCCCTTTGCAGGGCTGTGGACAGCAGCTATAAGGCACTGTTTTTCTGTGCTACCTCCTTCCTCCTCTTCAAGGGGAGTCTCCTGTGTATGCGGACAGTTGGGACTGGGAGCCAAAAATCCTTTTCCAGCAGAGGCTGTTTTAGGCAGTTTCCCCTCATATTTTATCCTTGCTGAATTTAGGAGGTCTTGATTAACTGCATGAGATCCTAGTAGCTTTGGGGTCGGGGAAGGGTCTCCACTCTTAACTTTGCCTTACTGCTCTTAGACAATCTGTGTAGGAGTGTGGTGGTAGCCCTGTCCTTATCACTACTTGTCCTCCATCTCTCTGTGTACTAACATCCAGCAGCTTGTACATTCAGGGTTCAGCCTTTAAAGTAGACACAAGATTTTTCTCACCGTAGGTGCTGCTGGACACAAGTTGAGCACTGTTAAGTGGCAAGTGTAGACTAACGCAAACTGTGTTCACTATGGCTTCAGCAGCCATGTTTAAACCCTGCATGGATGAGTTCATAGTGTAGGCAAGGCTGTAGCATAACCTTACTTGTCTCATGTAAAGCCTAGTGCTACAGAAGGGCAATTTACTGAAATTGCATGCTCACCCTTTCTCCCCTGAAGTCCCTTCTGTTCCAGCATGCTGCTGCTGGCACTAGTTGCATGTCAGATGACTATGCTGCTAAGGGCACTGGTAACTGGTTATGTCTCCAAGGAGATTGTGTGCATGTCAGATTTGTGCATAAGAACTGAGAAGGGGCAGGGGAGCAGTATGCTGGAGAAGCACGTTATGCTGGGGATCATGGAAAATGCTAGCTTAAGGTATACCTAAAGTTGCAAACACAGCTGTGCTAATGTTGCGTTCCACTCCCCGAATACAAAATACAAATCACTGCAGTTATTCCTGTTTGCTTCTGAAGGTGGATGCAGGTATGGGTGCTTACTCATATTCCTGAAGAAAATGCTGAAGCTCTAACTTGCACACCCTTTGCTAGGATGGCTAGCTAACAAGCGTGGAAAAACTGGGACACACTTTTTTTTGGGGGGGGGGAGAAAAGGGGAGGATAATTGTGTGAGCGTGCATATCTGACAAAAGCCCCTAATATGGGGCTGGTTTTGATAATACTGGAACAGCTGGTTGCCCCACGCCCTGCACAAGTAGGAAAGAATCCCAGAGCTGTCCTTGATGTAAGACCCGTGCTGTGACTTGGGAAACAGTTGGCATTCTTCATTGCTTAGGGAAGCTTGGGGTAATTAACTTGGCAAGCCTGGTCAGGTAGATACCGCCTAGCTATGATTAGTCCTGTTATCTCCATCTCCTGTGTGATAGCATCATAGGAAGAAGGGAGCCTTTAAGCTCTCCTAAGTGTTTTATGGAGACTGTCAATCTGGATGGCTATGAACTGGACAGGGATTATCTGCTAGAGGGAAGCCTAGATAAGCTATTTGACACTGATCTGCTGACAGGCCCGAGGTGTTTGTCTATCTTTAGCCTACAAGCTGAATATGGGGCCCATCTGTATCTTTTACAACAGTCATATGACTGTCTGCACACTAGGAACATGGTGGACATATCTCTAAGGTCACTGTGGTTCAGGTTAGCATTTTATTAAGACTCTCAGAAATGATAAGAATGATTCTAGTTTGCCCAGGAACTAAAATTGACCAGTTGGAATGTTTGTCCAACTTTAACCTTAAATGTAGTTACATACTAGGGATGTTATATTTAGATTAATTGGGTAATTGAATAGTCGATGCAGTTTGCATCAACTAGTCGATAAGGGCGCTTCTGACTTAAGTGTAGCTACACTTCAAAGGTGAAAGCCCTGCGGGGAGCACGGGACCAGAAGGGGATTCAGGCAGTGCCCTGCTGGCCCTGTGCTCCCCGCAGCGTTTCAAAGTGGCATGGAGCCTGGGGGGAGAAGAGGGGATACTTCAAAGCGGCAGCACCGCTTGTAGCCTGGGGCCAGACCCCAGGCTCCACATGGCACTGCTGCTTTGAAAAGCTGTGTGGAGCCTGGGGTCAGCTGGGATGTCCCCAGACTGCACATGGCATTTCAAAGCAGCAGTGTCACGTGCAGCCTGCGATCGGCTGGGGACTTCCCCACTGACCCCGGGCTCCAAGCACCCCCTCTTCTCCCCACTCACCCTTGCTGCCTCTTTCTGATAGAGGCAGCAAGGGTGCGGAAGCATGTTGACTAGTGTGTCAACTATCTGATAAACGTTTAGAACATAAGAATGGCCGTACTGGGTCAGACCAAAGGTCCATCTAGCCCAGTAGCCTGTCTTCCAACAGTGGCCAGTGCCAGGTGCCCCACAGGGGATGGACTGAAGACAATGATCAAGTGATTTGTCTTGTGCCATCTATCTCCAGCCTCTGGCAAGCTTATCGTATAGTTGACTAGACATTCACATCCCTATTACACCATTTAAAACTAAATCTTATACAGTGTGTATCTTGATTTACAAGCATCTGAATGGGGCTATCTTCCAGCCTAAGAAATATTGGAATAAACTTAGCTTAACATGTTGCCTCGAAATACTTTAGTTGTGAACCTGCCATAGAAATCAACGAGTTCAGTATTAGTAAGTATAGGACTTGTTAAAGCCCAAAACTGAGTTATATTATAATAGCCACCTGCTTTTTGCAGAGAGAGTAACTAGCATTCTAATCCAAAAGGGAGGTGAAGTAGAGAACATGACTGCTCTCTGTGCCTTGGGGTTGGTTCCTGTAGACTGCAAGGAGCAGAGCAGGAACCAACCGATCAAAATCCTTGCTCTGTGCAGGTTGGCTCTCCCTTGCCTGGTTAACAAGCAGCTGTGTGCCCACACGCTATTTCCTCATAGTGGAATGAGTTGAGGGGTGAGAGCACTGTATGCCAAAGTTCCCTGTCTTTCTCCAGTTGCGTGGGCTAGAGTCCCATCTTGATGTAAGTGCTCTCCTATAAGAAACCTTTGCTGTTCAGTCTGCATCTCCCAGGACCTTGCTCATTTCAGATCTACACAGGCGTGTAGCTGCAGGGCAGCTGCACCAGTTCATGCTGGCATTACAGCAGCTTTTATTGTTAATACTGTCCATGGGAGGCGGACTTCAGTTTGACAACAGGCTCTGGCTGGCTAGTGATGGTTTTCTTTTTCATGCACTGAGAAGAGGAAAAAATCTCTGCTTTAATTAAAAGCTTGGATTACAAGGGAGGGGAAATCTGATTTATTTAGACTCTGATGTAAACCTCTGGCAGTTCTAGTATTTAGACTGATGTAAACCTCTGGCAGTTCTAGTACCTATGTTTGAATCTGGACAATCTAGTACCTATGAGGCACTGGACAATGCTACTCTATGGCATAAGGATTGTATATGACTACAGGTCTGACACTTAACTAGCCAAGTATCAGTTGCACAAGTATGAGTAATCTGGTCTGTGTGACTGACTTGTGAAGACATGCCTGCATCAGTTTGGCATCTTCTCCCTCTATTGCTACACACAAGCACACGTTTGGGTGATGGGTACAGTTCTGTGACCACCTGAGCCAGGTGTGGTGGGGTGGGGGAGCTTTTCTTGGTGTTGCAGGCGCATCCTACTGTCTGTCTAGCTAACTTATTTAGTGTTACATGGCAGGCGGGAGGAGGAGAGGGGTGGTGGTAAAGAAGGAAGATGAAGGTATCTGAATGAGCTGCAAGGACTAAGATTTTGTCTGTCTGTCTTCAAAACAGAAAATTGTGAAAGCTGGAGACAAGGACCTGGATGGGCAGCTGGACTTTGAGGAGTTTGTTCACTATCTGCAAGATCATGAGAAAAAACTGAGGCTAGTCTTCAAGAGCTTGGATAAAAAGAATGATGGTAAGGCTCTTTCTGATAGTCATAGACTATCACTGGCCTCTGCAGGCCAACTTGACAGCCACTTTGGGTACATGGTCTCTGGGCTTACTGGCCTCTATCTTTGCAGGCCGTATCGATGCCCAGGAAATCATGCAATCCCTCCGGGACCTGGGAGTCAAGATTTCTGAACAGCAAGCTGAGAAAATCCTCAAGAGGTGAGTTTTCAGCTGGCTCTTGTGCCTCATCTGAGAAGAAATGTAAAGAGTGACCATTCCTCCCCTTTCCTCCCTCTACACTTCCTAATCACTGCAGTCTCCCTCCTCCAACCTCTTGCCTCTCATTTCATTTCTGATCATCTGTGTATTGAAAACTATAATGTGCCATGAAGGCCAGAGAAGCCGCCCATCTGCTCAGTATACTTGAATCAAACTGGAGGCGTGGGAGGCAATAAAGAGCAAGATCACTGGCCAAATAGAATGCATAAGAACAGTGACTTGTGATGCTAGGTCAGATCCCTGGGTTATAAGGATGGTATTCTGTTTCCAGCATGAGTACCATCTGAGCTTTAGGGGAGGTGGGAATTCAGTCTGTGAACAATCCTCTTCTAAGTTTTTGGAGTTGAGTTACCACTTCCACAGAATGAATGGAGAAAAATGCTTGTAGCCCCTGACCCCAAGATCTTGCCATTTCGGATCCTTTGCAAGCCTTTTTGTGGAGAGGGGCATGCACTTAATCATACTTGTAACAGCTTGCTGCTGTGGAGAGACTGTTTACTTACTATACTGAAATGCTTTGTACTTTGCCTGTGCCACTAACACGGTAACAATCTCTTATTTGTCCTGTTTTTTCTCTTTCCTTTGCCATCCTCCCCTCTGTCTGTTTGCCTGTCTGTCAGAATAAGGACAGGCCATTTCTGGGGTCCTGTCACCTAGTAAGTACCAGTGTAATCTAGTCTCTGCCAGTTCTTTACCTTCTCTACAGTGCCGGATGATGATGATCATCATCATCATCTTTTGTTCTAACCATGGTGGGAGGGGGCCCCATAAATCCTTTTGTGTGACTAGTGGGGAGGGAGGAAATGTGGTATACTTTCCCCATTCTCTGCATGGCTTGGAAGGAGAGGATTCCCTAGCAGTGTCTTGTACCTTTCAGTCCTTTTAACACTGCCTACTAGTTGCTCTGTGAAGGCTTCTATTTTGGGGTGAGGTCCCTGAATAATCAAGGGGTGTGTGAGGAGGTGTTCCTCCCTCAGTAGAGCCAAGCGTCCATCTCCTGTTCATTTGTTTGTAATACACTTTTTGCAGCATGGATAAAAATGGAACTATGACAATTGACTGGAACGAGTGGCGAGACTATCACCTGCTGCATCCAGTGGAGAACATTCCTGAGATCATCCTGTACTGGAAGCACTCCACGGTAAAAGAGAGAAAAATTCCTCTTCCAAAGCAGGCCCGATCCTTCCCCAATTTCTTTGTAAAAGTGCCCTCCACAGCAGCACTTACCAAGCCTCCATCATTCTCTTCTTGGTTCAGTAGCTGCCTTCCAGTTCTAGAAGCCTACCAACTTTCTGGTTCTCATTACCTCTTTTTAATCCACCCATGGCTTGGTTTCTGAAGTCCTTGGTGGGAGGTGACCGCTGGACCTTTTGAGGGAGGGGAGAGCAAGTGAGAAGATTGACTTGTATCACAACTCTGGGAGCTCAGACAAGTTCCTGCTAGTTCAGAACCTGAAATTGATCTGACAAGCACCAGTCCTTCCTTGTTATTTATTCAGTGCTTTATATACTGTGTAGTGAGAGCAGGCTGGCTGAGTGCCAGAAAGTTCCAAAAGCTTCAGCTCTTATTCCACACCCCACTGCCCTGGGTTAGTCACTTGATCATTAATGTTAGACCTTCTGTATTGGGTTGGCAAGTTCCCAGCCTCCTCAACGGGAGTTGTGAAAATGTGAAGAGTCCTCATGTTCTATCAAATCATGAATGGTGTGGAGGAAGAATCATTTACCTCTCGTGTAACCCATAGTTCGGGTATCTTAACTGATGACCATAATAGGCAACAAACTTAAAACAATCCAAAGGAAAACCTGCTTAATGCAATCAACCTGTGAAAGTTGTCACCATGGGAAAGCTAGAAGGTGAAGTGAGTTTAAAAAAGAATTGTATAAGTACATGAAGGAAGGGCTGTCAGGGGCTGTTAGCCAGGATGGCTAGCAATCTCATGCTCTGAGTGTTCTTAAACCTCCAAATACCAGAAGTTGGGAGTAGTCTACAGGAGGCAGATCATTGAAATTGCCCTGTTTGTTCATTCTCTCTGCCGCATCTGGCACCAACCCGTCAGACAGGATCCTATCAGACTGGCTTGACCCAGTATGGCTCTTGTTACGTGGTGGTGATTTGCATGTTCTCTGGCACTGATAGTTCCTTTACTGTTTATGGTCAAACACATCAACTACAATTTGCAAACGAACTGGGAACTTGAGTACTAAGCTCATGTATAGTGCGTGATGGCTCTTTGAGTACTCAGGCTATGGGAAGTTGTAGGTGAGAGACAGTGGACTCTCTGGGGATGAGACAGAAGCTGCCTGCCTAACTCTATCCTTCCCAGCACTTCTCACTTCTCCTTTCTTTGCAGATCTTTGATGTGGGAGAGAATCTGACAGTCCCAGATGAGTTCACAGTGGAAGAGAGGCAGACGGGCATGTGGTGGAGACATTTGGTTGCAGGTGGAGGTGCAGGTGCTGTGTCCAGAACCTGCACAGCCCCATTGGACCGTCTGAAGGTGCTCATGCAGGTAGGGCAAAAAATGGAGACCACTTTTTTTTAATCAGGGTGCATGTGCTGCTTCGCTGAGTGTACCAGTCCAATTCAGTGGATCCTAGCCACAGATCTGAAACTATCAGTTCAGGAAAGTGACAGATTCTGGTTGTACTCAGTCTCATTACTTCCACACTGGTGTGCAGCAGCCTTTTGGTCTGTACCAAATATTCCTTCTAGCCATGTAAAAGCCATTCCTGATCTGTTAGTTGTCACAATGATATGAAAATTTCAGGAGCGAAGCAGATGAGGAAGCAGTCACTGGTCCTAGCTAGATCACCTTGTACCTTACAGCCTTGGGCAAATCTTACTTCCTTGGAACATGTTTAAGAGGAGACACTGGTTTGAGAGCTGCCCTCGGAAGTGGCTGAGTTGACTTGTTGGCAGGGCTGCTGGCTCTAGGTTCACAGGGCAGAGATAAGTGTAGCTGATGTTAGAAAGCAGAGTTACGTAGCAGGGATTTTGGACTTTGCTTAGGGAGGCTCAGCAGTGACTGTCCCAGTCTTTCATCTGAGAACTATCTTCTCCCTGTATCAGAGCCCATGGTGGGTAGTCCGTACAAGAATGTTTCCCTTCCCTTCCTGTTGTGATGGGCCAGGGCTCAGGTTGATGAATCAGTTAACTGATCTCAGACTTACAACCCCCAAATGCCTATTTTTCCCCCAAAATGTTACCTGGGAAGGGTTAAAACTTCCTGAAATCTCTAGGTAGATAAGAAATGCCATTTCTCCCAGGATTACGGAGGCATGGGAGCTGTGCCATCAGAACCAATCCTAGTTCTCCCACTTCCTCCCTTCCAGGTCCATGCCTCCCGGAGTAACAATATGTGCATTGTTGGTGGCTTTACCCATATGATCAGAGAGGGCGGGCCCAAGTCGCTGTGGCGGGGGAATGGCATCAATGTCTTGAAGATTGCGCCAGAGTCTGCAATCAAGTTCATGGCTTACGAGCAGGTAAGAGCTGGGTCATATTGAAACTGGGCTCCCAGGCCGTGTGGGGATTGGAGGAATCTTTTCATGTGAGTGATTGCCCAAACTGGAGCCATGTGACCCACCAGTCATAGTATGGTGCCTCTAGGCAGATGGAGCATGAACTCTCTGCCTGGGCATGCAAACTGTCCTCTCCAGTGGTGGGAATGGTGCTTTCACACCTCTACCCCAAGGCATAACTGGAGAAATGGGCAGCATGAGGTCACAGTGACATGAGTTGAGTGCATAGCTGGAACAGAGATGGTGTTCATGCTTCCCTCTCCAGCCTGTGCCAGACCTAATGAGTGAAAAGGGGGGTGCCTTGCACTCCCTGCTGAGGAGCGAAGGTGATATGCAGTCCAGTCATGCTGTCAGCCCCCCTTCCATTATAATCTTTCTTTGTTTCTACAGATCAAGAGGTTAATTGGCACTGACCAGGAAATGCTGGGAATTTGTGAGCGGCTAGTGGCTGGTTCACTAGCAGGGGTCATTGCCCAAAGCAGCATCTACCCAATGGAGGTGAGGTTGGTTGCTGGCATCCTACTCTATAGCAGGCGGAGGGAATGGGTGTTGTACCAAATAAAAGCAAGCAGGATCTTATGAGGGGGATAAGGCAAAAAGCCACATTTATTGTAAAGATAATAATAAAAAATAAAGAAAAGATAGAAGCAAACAACGTTGTTTAACTACTTATTCCTAACACTACTTAACCCTTATACACTTATATATATATATATAAACCATTACTTAACCCTTATACATATAAACATTCATTCATCCATTCATTCAGGTTCTGTGTATTGTTATAGTTACCTAGTTACCAGCCTGGAAGTTGCTTGTGACAGGATACTGGCCAGGTACTCTGTACACAAGTGATGGTAGTGGGGAGTGAAGTCCTGATCAGATGCGCATCTGAAGCTCCTGGTAGGCTGGCAGCAGAACCTTGGACTCTGATTCCATAGTTTTTTAGTCCAGTTCTTATAGGAATTTCTTCCTATGCCAGTCTATGGAAATTGCTGTATCATGCTGATGTCTCCAGGGTGGCTGCCAGGTGCTCATCAGTGATCTTATCGGGTGGACCTCCAGTTTCTCCACTTGACACCTTTTGGTTGCACTGGCACCTGACGCCTTCTTCAGCCCTTTGTTGCTGTATTTTCAGGCTGGCACCTCTTAGAACCATTTACTTATCATCCAAGCACTCTCTCATACATTCATACAGTATTTTGTATAATAATAAAAGTTGTAGTTACAGAAAGTTTTTGGGTGGTATTGCTTAAAACATTCTCTGAGTGCTGAGTAAAGTTACAATGTTTTAAAGAGAACAGGCGTCAATTAAGTAACAATGCCCTTAGTAGTTAGTGGTTTGACAATGCATTGTTACAATGTATCTTTGCAATGTTAATTTCAAGCAGCCCCTTGCACAAACTTGAGCATGCCCTGGAGCACAGAGGGGGAGGGGGGGGACTGTTTCTGGTTACATAGGATTATATTCTTAACAGTTCTAAGTTACATGACCTAATACATTATATTCTAAAGGGACAATAATAATAATAAATCTAAACATTTAACAATCTTAACAAATAATAATAATAATAAGAAGAAGAAGAATTAACAATAAATCTAAACACTAAGTTGTGGGGAACAAATTATGGGGAGTCACTTCCATTTGGAGGAATCATTTTCAATACATTAATATGTTATCCCCACATGGGGAGTCATTAAATGGAGAAATTGAGATGTGTAATGTGAACCAAATGCCCACTTTGAAAGTAATTGTGTTGCGTGTTAGAGGCAGCTTTTGTACTGGGTGTCAAAGGGCATTGTCTATGGGATCTAGTAAAGCATAGAATGGAGGTGTTGGCACTCCCTTCGGTGACATGCTCCTTTCTCTTCGTCATGGGACTACTGCGACTTCCTACTCCCAGTGCTGTTCTAGGCATTCACCGTGCACATGCTCTTGTGCTTTTAGGTTCTGAAGACCCGAATGGCCCTGCGGAAGACAGGACAATACTCAGGCATGCTGGACTGTGCCAAGAACATCCTCTCCAAGGAAGGAATGGCTGCCTTCTACAAAGGCTACATCCCCAACTTGCTAGGAATCATTCCGTATGCCGGTATTGACCTGGCTGTCTATGAGGTATGGCGCCTTCCTGGCTTCTGCGGGGCTGGGACATGTCACTTTCAAGATAAGCAGGGAGATGTAGTGCCTGTTGCTAATGTAGGAGCATAAAACCTTCCCAGTTAATTCTACACATGCCTCTGGAGATTCACACATGGCCCTGGGGAAAAAAATCACTCCAGCATAAGCCTTGCAACCATCTATGGCTCTGCTGTTTGGAGGAGGGAATTACAGCAGCAAAGCTGCTAGCTAGTGGCCTTCACAGATGCTACAGTGGCAGCAGCAGCAGCAGCTGCTCAAGAAAACCTGAAAAGCTTGTCTTCTGCAGTTATTTCTAGTTGATGTTGCATGGACCTCCACATGCCTCCAACCCCAGCTTCTGTCCTCACATGGCTAGTCTCTAGTCATGATGTTAGCTAGCGGTTATTTTAGTAACTGTGTAGCCACAACAATTTGTAATGGTTACATGGTTACTAAAATACTCCCTAGATTCCCACGCTTATCAGCTCCCTCCTACCCCCCCATGCCCTCTTCTCTGCTGCCTCTCTATCAGAGGTAGCAGCGCGAGGGTGTGGGGACAAACAGTTCCCCAGGATCTGGCTTCCACCTTCCCCCTGCCGTGCTGCCTCTGTGGGAGGCAGCACAGGGCGTAGCACGAGTGGCTCCATGGAACTAGCACGCACAGGGACACGCACTTCATGGGCACTGGCTCCCACCTCTGATACAGAGGCTGCGTGTGTGTGTGTGGGGGGGTTCTAGTTGTTTGGATTAACTAATAAGACAAGGCTTATTGGCTAATCATTTAAGCAATTATATGCTAATATCCCTAGTCTCTAGTTGCTCCATGCTCCCTTCTTCCCAGCTAACACCTGGTTTATTTGTTCTAGACATTAAAAAATACCTGGTTACAACGCTATGCTGTGAACAGTGCTGACCCTGGAGTGTTTGTTCTCCTGGCTTGTGGCACTATGTCCAGTACCTGTGGGCAGCTGGCCAGTTATCCCCTGGCTCTTGTGAGAACACGCATGCAGGCACAAGGTAAGGACTGAGTGTGGAACTCACTCTGTGTATCAGTGGAGGCCTAGAAGGTCTTGCAGAATCACAGCATATTTTATTTCTTCTGTACACCTGAACTCTGGGATGTTTGTTTGTCAAGGATCAAGAGTGATAGGAACTTTGTGCCATGCCTGGCACTTGGACCCAAAGCCCCAATAGCAAAGCCATTTTTTCATTCTCTTTACCTTTGTACTCTAGTCAGCCCACGAACTGGTGTGCTGGTGAAAATGGCAGGCACTATGGCATGGCCTCATTCTGCTGCCTAATTGCACACTGTCACGTAGCTATAACATCAGTGTAGCTCAAATCTCTGCTTGTATGAGTGCAATGCAAAATTTAACACGTGCCTTTGAGACTCTTACAACATACCTTAATCTCTGCTCTGTTTCTTGTGGTTTCTGTTGTAGCTTCGGTGGAGGGAGCTCCAGAGGTGACCATGAGGGGACTCTTCAAACACATTCTAAAGACAGAAGGAGCATTTGGTCTCTATCGAGGCCTCGCCCCCAACTTCATGAAGGTGATCCCTGCCGTTAGCATCAGCTATGTGGTTTATGAGAACTTGAAGATGACCCTGGGGGTGCAGTCACGGTGACCAGGAGATGCCAAGGATTCTGAACTCTGAAATCTTGGGCTGTAATCCTGCGGTGCATAGCCATCTCTCATTCTGTGAATGTGTCGACACTAAACTGGCTAAGCAAAGCTGTGAAAATCCAGGGGTAGGGAGGATTTGGTGTTCTTTGCCATCTTGCTACTCGAGAGCTCTGCTTAAACCATCAAGTGGTCCTTCAGGCATACTGGGGATCATTTGGGAGACCAGAGATCAACTCCTGGGTGTGTCTCAAGCTATGAGTTTGAGGCCAGTTTCCAGCAGCTTCATAGAGCGGGGACCTTTCATGTAGAATCAGCTGCTGGCTTGGAGATTTGTAGTACCTTTTGACATGCTGAAGGAGCTATTTTCCATTCAGTTTAACCTCCTGCCTATTTAAAATTGTACAAACGTATTTATTATGTTTACATGTATTTCTTTGGGTAGCAAATGTTTGTTTTGCTTCCAAGACTATGACATGAAACTTTACACTGCACCAGTTTTGGGGCCTGGTAAGCAGTGATTCTTCTGTTCAGGCTGACAGTTACTTAGGCCAGCTGGGTAGAGAATAAGGATATTTATTTTTATAGGTCAGATCAAGTCTCTCCCATAAACCTGCTAACAAGATGCACTTATTAACAGAAGCAGTGGACTAGAGCCTGCACACTGCATTGCTGCATGCTAGATGGATTTGACATTCATGCCCAGCAGAGGTTTGGAAAGGGGAAGACTAGAACCCTGAATGGACTATTGCCTTCATGCGCGGCTTTACTGAATAACTGTTCTCTGCTGCTCTTGGCCATCTCTGCAGCTGTGCACCTGACGGCCTGTGCAGCACTCTGAACAGGGCTCTTCCTGGTGCCAGTGGTGGATGACTGACCCTTTCCAAACCCTGCAGCTAAGCTGTGATTTATCCCTCTCTGGATCTCTTTGTGGACTAGAGTTAGGGTTTGCATTGGATGGACATGGAATCCCCAGGCTAGGAGTAGTTCTGCTGTGGGAAGGGATGTTTGCTGACATTGGGAGAAGTTGGGTTCGTCAGGGAGTTGAAGACGATTACTTGTCATTCTCCCAGAAGGTGCTTTTTGTATGCAGAAAGGAAGGGAACGGCTTGGCTTTAAAATTTCTCTGACTGTATTACGGGCCACTTCAGTCTATATAGGATCAGGCTTCTGGGGCCCCAGAGAGCCTCATCCGACTTTTGATATGGGGCCAAATGGACCAGCATCACATTCCATGGTGTCTTACTGCTTAAATCGTATTTATTTTGTATTTATTTGAACAGAGTTATGTCAGACTATTTTTATAGACTTGTTTAAATGTTGTTCGTGCCTTTGTATTTCTCCTATTTAAAGTTCTGTATTCTTACTCATTTGCACCTTTACTATCACTCAGCTGAGCAGCAAGGGGAGATGCTAAGGTCATTAGTGTTCTCTTCCCCTAAAGTTTGAGCTGCTCTTTTTACATCTGTGGGGGGCCTGTCAGTCAAGAGAAATTCCCTGTAGCAGTAAGCCATAGAAGAGGGGAGAATGGGTTAGCTAGGAAACAGTTCTCTGGGACAAGGGACACGGAATGGTGTATTGTGAGGCTTGCCTTACTCTGGAATCGCTTTGCACTGAAAGGATTTCCTGTGGATGGCTCAGGCTGGGGAAATGGAAGGCCTGTGTATGTTGATGTCTCAATGGCTAGATGAGAGCAGGTGAATTGGAATTTTTTGGGGGGAGGGAAAAAGTCTCAGGGATTTTGGAAACTGGCAATTTGTGTCTTTCTAGAAACAGGGAAGGAAACTTGCACTTGAACACAAGCTGCTGTAGTTCTGTTCGAGGGCAAGTAGGCAGACATGCTACTGAGTCCCATGCTCCTCTCTCTCACATACGTGCACTATGGAGAAGCTTGTGTTCGGGAACGGAAAGGGCTTCATTAGGCACTCCTGGCAGCTGCTCCCAGTGATACACTTGGGTGGTAGGGAGAGCCTTCGGTCCTCAGGTTCTCTCCCTGCTCTCTGTTCTTGCCAGAGGGAAATCTAACTTCCTACCTGGATTACTGACATGATTTTTTCACTTCCCCCTTTGAGACCAACTGTAAATTCTGCAGTGGCTCCTTTGTACCAATGTGGCCTAATGGGAATGTTCCAAGTACAAAAATCAATGCAATATGTGACTGTATTTGTTGCTGTAACTGGAAATGGTCAAAATACAAATCTAACCAATGAGATTCCTTGTGATGAAGGGAAAAGTCTGCTAATAAAGGATTATTAAAGCTACTGTGTGTCTGCTTTCCTGTGAGGTGTACGCTGCTGGTGCTGCGAGTGTCTGTGGGAACAGTTTTTCCCTAAAAGTCCTTTTCCTTCACTGAGGGTTATTGACAGCAAAAGTGTTTGACTCCTAATGCCAGGGAAAACCTGAATAATGTCACCAGAACTAAAGGGGGTTTACTGTGGCAATGAGCAGATCAGGCATAGCCCATTTCCAAGCTATTGTCTGTTCAGTGGGTTCTTGGATCTCTTTTCTACATAGAGAATCTGTAGTTCATTTTCTTTAGTCTGACTGCACCCTTGAAGTATCAGTCCCTGTATTTTAAAGGGCATGGTCCTGATGTGCTTTTAGTGTCCATTAACAATGAAGTGCTCTATGTGCAGCTACCTTGGGAGCCCATCCAAGTACACTAGCTGGCGCATAGCCATTTGCTTGGTAAATTTAACCACAAGGATCATTTTACACTAGTTCTCTAAGGATCACAGTGGCTTCTTATGTGCTACCTGATAGTCAAGGAATTTCTGTTCATTAGTAAAACCTGGTTAAGGTTTTACAAATGATCTGAGACTCTGCTGGAGTAGCAGTCAGCTAAGGCACTTGTTACATTCCATGCATTGGCTCCCCCTACAGGCTGGTGGCAGGGTATTGTCAGTGGAGGGAGTTACTAAGTTGATGTTGAGGCATGGCACTAAGCCAGTCTTAGAGGTCTGTTTTTAATTGTAGCGCTCCTGGTCCCTGAGATCATGAGGGGCACATCTGAGAGATTTTAATCCATTTAATTCCATTTTCACTGTAGGTCATTAGAGGTTCCTAGTCTCCCTCTCCCCTACTGAGAGAAATGAAGGAACAAAATTGTTTGAAATTGGTTCTCAAACTGCAGTCTCAAGGCTCAGTCTCAGCCTTCTGGTATCCCCCCTCCCCTGCAAGGTTGGAGCACCAGCTTCCCGCTCTGTGTGTGGCCCAAGCCTCCTGGGCCAGATCTGGCTCTGAGGAGCAAACAGCTCTTTGTGCTGCTGTTCCCCCTCCCACTATCTGGGGGAACAGCAATGGGGAAACTGCTCATCTAGAGGCTTTCCCCACTGTTCTCGTTGCCTGGAATCCCAGCCAATGGGAGCAGGGGGAGGGTGGTGCCTGGGAGCTGTAGGAGACATAAGCTCTCCCCATCCCTCATACCCAGACCCTGCACCCCCATCACCCTCACAGACCCCCATGACTCTGTGCTCCTAAACTTCCAGCCAGACCACCCCACTCACCCTTCTGTGCCCCATCTCACTCCCTGGAGGGGAGCCTGGAGGTCTCTAACTCTTCTGGGATCCTGGAGTAAGTAGATTGAATCTGGCCTGTGGGAAGTCCTGAACTTTTACCCCCTCCTCCCCATGGGGCTGAAGCACCAGGGAAGTGAGGTGTCTCAGTTGGGAGCCACCTTAGTGAAGGTTTGGGGGTATTTTTGTTTTGTCTTGGGTTTTTTTGCCTCTCACTTTTTTGTGGGCCCCCAACTGATTTTTCTTCCGTGCATCAGTGGCCCCCAACCCAAAAAAGGATCCCCGTCCCTGCCATAAATGTAGATAACGGTGAAACCTTTTGTTTTGGACATAAATTAATATTTTACTTTATGTAAAACAAAGTTTGGTAAACTAACAAAGTGCTTAATTTGTTTAATTTTGGTATTTCCTTATCAGTTATATATGCCTACTTATGGTGTAGCTGCATATTTAAATTTTTATGCTCCAGTAGCCTAATACCTTAAATACTAAATTATTTGTATTTAGACCTCAGCAAAGGCATTTTGTTGTCATGGGTGGGCCATGGGCCTAAAACTTTGAGAACTACTGACCTAGAATTAAGAGAGATTAACTCTGGGGAAGAGAGAGATACTTGTTGCTACACTTCTTCCTTGCATTTCTTATGACCTATTTAATCTCAAAGATGAAGAAGATTAGTTTAGGCCGGGGGTTTCAGCCCTGGACTGGAACTGCTGAGTTCCACTCCTGGCTTTGTCACAAACTCTGCCCCATGGTGAGTCACCTAATCTGTTCGTTTTAGTTTGCCTCAAAACAATGAAACTTCCCAGCCTCACAGGGCATAAATACAGTGGTCACTTAACCAGTAGATTGGGATTTACCAGTAGATCTTGGTATCTCTGACCGGTGCTCCTGACTGGTTTGGTTGGGAAGCTATCAAGTGCTGGCACTTCAGTTGCTTCTCCACCTACTGTCATGCTGCTCCTGCCTCTGCCTTGGAGCTGCCCCTTGGAATCCTCCTGATTGCTGTGCAGGGTGTGGGAGGGAGAAGAGGGGAAGTGCTGATGTCAGGGTGTCCCTCCTCCCCCCACTCCTGTACCCTGTCTTCACACAAAGAAGGGGGATGGAGGGAGCTTGGCAGTGCAAATCTGTCACTCCCCCAGTGTGTATCTGTCATTCTCTCACACACACTGTCCCCTCTCATCTCCTGACCCAACATGTATGGTTGTTACTACTTTAACTGCTTGCAAAGTGGGTTAGTTTTGGGTTTTGACTGGTCTGTGCATTTCATAACTTTCATTTCTCACGCTTTAATTTTGAGAATGAGTTCTAAAATGCCTGACCTGTCATAATTATCCTTATGGCAATTGTGCTCTTGGAGGTGGCTGGCATGTCCCTGCAGCCCCTGAGACTGTCAGAGCAGGGGGTCTCTACATGCTGTCTTGGCCTATAGACACCACTCCTGCAGCTCCCATTGATCAGTAATGGAGAACTGTGGCCTGTAGAAGCTGTGGGGTTGGTGCCTGTATATAAGGGGCAGCTCATGGAGCCACTGTTGTGCCTGTCAGCCCCTGCCTTAGCTCCACTCCTAGGGTGGTCCTTAAACCTACAACCCTGCACTTCAGGCACTGATGCCCTATTCCTTAGGCCACTCCAGAACCCTCCCTACCTTCAGGGTGTCTCCTCCCACACTCTGAACCTCTTGGCCCAAGACCAGAGCCTGCAACCCAACTCCCTACCCCAGCCTGGTGAAAGTGAATGAGATTGGGGATGGAGTGAGCAGGGTGAGGCCTCGGAGAAGGGTTAGAGCTGGAGCGGGGCCTCCAAGAAGGGGAGGGGGGGAAGGAAGCCAGGCAAGGTATTTGGGTTTGAGGTAGATCTTACATTGCACTTAAACTGAAAAAGTGATCTTGTGGTTAAAAAGACTGGAGACCACTGCACTAATGAATGGATGTGAGGTGCCATGAAAGCTTGTAATAAGGTGCTCTACAGAAGGAATGCTGCTACTTGATCATTTCTGGTTTTGGTGCACTAGAGTTAGTGGGAATCAGATTGTTCTTGAATTCCCTTCTACTGAAACAATTCCATTTCTAAATGAAGGGACCCTGCTGATGGAGGCTTGGTGCGGTCATTTTTTGTTAAGTGATCTGTTTGTTTTCCTTCCCCATTTGACTAAGACCTTGAAATGGGCAAGCATCCTTTGCGCCTGGGATTCTAATGCACATCTACAAGTTTTAGAAAGGAATTTTCTCAAGTGTATGGGTGACCTGGGTAGCTTGTGACCAACTTCAGTTTTACACTTGTACCTCATATACACTGTCCAGCTGTTCTAAAGAAAAACAGAAATGAGGCTTTTCCCTATGTACAGTAAACTTCCGATAATACGGCACCTTTAGGACCCAGGGGATGCCGGATTATCAAATATGCCAGACCAGTGGGGGGGGTTGACTACAGGAAGCCGGAGGCAGAGTTGCTCTGCCCCAGGCTTCCTGGAATCAGCCGCTGATCAGTTTCAGCAGCAGCTGACTCGGGGAAGCCAGGGGCAGAGCAGCTCCAATAGTCTGGCTGCTCAGAGCACTTCCAGGTTCCAGATGGTGCCGGACCATCAGGAGTGGAGTTTTACTGTATTACATTAGCTATATCTTCCAGCATTTGTTGGTACACCAAATTTTTAAATTAGTAGTATAGGAGTGCCCTCTGCTGGTGATCACAAATTTGAGTGGTATCAATGCATTTTCATAGTGGAGAACTGTGTTAAAACTGCCCTCTGTTTCCCATTTGATGCTGTTCAACCATCAGGCTAAAACTCAGTGCTTTGAGGAAGCAATGAAGAAATGTCAAGTTTCATGCTGGCTTGCAACCATGGTTACAGCCATTTGCCCAGCATTTGTAAAGCTGGCCTATTAACTGTGCTTATTTGTAAATAACCAGGCAAATCAAAACTAGCTAATTTCTCCTCACTAACTCTGATCTACCAGCAGAGCAATTCCCCTGACTGAAGCTGCATCAACGATACACACCAGAAATAATAAAGAAAACTTTTATTTGCTGCAGACGTTAAGTGGCCTGATGCTGCACATGTCCAGTCGTGTTAGGTTCAGGGTTATCCTAGGACTGTAGCTGGCATCTCCTTGTCTGGGGAGTTGTTTGTTTGGTTTCTTTCATTTGACACAGCTCCTGAGAAAAATATGCAGCAAGAACAGTTTTAAAAGGAAGTATTTTAAGCAGGAGGTTGACCATGCATTAATATCCAGCAGGGTACATGTGCTACACTGGCCATAACTGACACAGGAGCAGCAGTTTCATTAATCAGAACCCAACCCAAAGCCAGTACTAAAAATCAAGTCACATTACAATCCTTCCAAGGGAAGCCCAGCATAGGGTGGGAATGGGCAGAAGTCCCTTTCTCCGTACAAAGATTTAAAACCTACAGAGACTTAATTCAAATCCCTAATATGACAAATGAAATCAATTTAGGAACAAACTGGTTTAAAAATATAGCATAATGATTGATTTACCATGAGGTACTTTATGGAAATTGGATATACCTCCACCACATGAGGGAAAAATGGGACAAATCCCTTTAACAAAAGGAGAACCAATAGCTGCAGATATGATGGTCCACCAAGCTGCAGAATTGGTGCTTAAAATTCCCCATGGTCTGAAACCAAAAACCCCTGACTCCTAACGTTCCTAACAATACAGTGGCTAAGTAACAAAACGGCAGACTCTACTTCTAACTTTAACCAGGCCCATGCTTCAGGCGCTTTCTTCTACAAATACGATTTGTCACTCGAGAATTCTCCAGAGCACTAGGATCGCTTTCCTTTCTTTGGGTTTTTCACTCAGCAATATATTGGCCCCGAAAGGAACTAAGTCACTCTGTTGGAAGCTACTGGGTCTGTCTTAATTGTGTGCTTTACCCATGCTTAATGCCCTCACAGAGGGGGAGCTGTGTTACTCATTGTTTTTAAAGTTACAGACTAATCCTGTGGCACTTTAGAGACTAACAAAAATATATAGATGCTTCAGGGGGTAGCCGAGTTAGTCTGTATAGGATAAACTTAAAAACAACAAATGGTCTGGTAGCACTTTAAAGACTAACAAAACATGCTGGTGGTATCATGAGCTTTTGTGGGCACAGCCCACTTCTTCAGATGATATATAGGATCATGAGATTTTTGTGGGTAAAACCCACCTTCAGATGAAGTGGAAATAACAGAAGCCAAAATTATATATATAAACAGCAGCAAAAGTATATTTCACTTGTAAGACCCATGTTAATGAGGCTAAGTAAGTGGGCTGGATGTGTCCCATTCATAGCTTTTGATGTGTCAAGGAACTGGATGCTGTTGAAATCCCTGTGGAAGTTTTCAAGTGTCTCCTTCCAGTGAGTCCATGTGATGATGTCATCAATGAAGCAAAAGTAGAGGAAGGGTTCTAGGATACAACATTTCCTCAGCTCTCATCCCCTAGCACCCTTTCTTTATGTATGATAATGTCATCAATGTAGCAAATGGTGCGTTCACAGCCCTCCCTCCCCAGCCAGGCAGAGCTGCAGCATGCAGGGGCTTTAGTGGCTAATAGAGCCCCAGTCTGCAGGCCATACAGCCCTGCTTGTAACTGAGGCTGGCTCCTTTTGTTCCCTCCCAGTTTCTGAGAGTTACAATTTTGCTGTGTGGCACTGAAGATTGGGCAAGGATATTTACTGATCCATAAGGAAAACTTTACCTTCTGCCATGGTGCATAAATTATTTCCTCATCAGAAAGGCTCAGACATTTAGCATGGCCTCTGAATTCCTGCAACTGAGTTTCACTCAAGTTTTGGTTCCGTGCTGTTTTAAAAAGGGAAAATTGCAGCATCAGAAAGCAGTTCTGTAGGTGCTAGATGCATATAATTAGTTTAGACATACAATTTCCATGTTCTTTACCAGTCCTCCCTGTTTCTTCATTCCCTCTGACACACTTAACCAGGTTGTCCTAGTAAGCGATTACCCTCACCATGCATGACACCTTATCTGTGCTCTGAGTTTTAACCTGCCCAGGCTATGTATTTATAACACACTTATAAAGTTGCACTTCTTTAGTGGCTGGCTCCTGTAGAGATGTTTGTGCTTCTTCAGCTTGCACAGTAGAGGTCACTGTTGCAGTGTAGAACATCTGAAGTCCAAGCCATGCTGCTCATGACCCTGGGTGTGTGTGGAGGGTTGTCATCAGGGGAGCTGGCAGCCTTGCTGAGCCACTAGGCAAGGGGGGACAGTTCTATGCTCCTCTCCTAGAAGGGGCGGGGCAGCCAGCCCTCAGCACTGCCAGGGCTGTGGTGTACGTCCCCCCACCAGCTCAGCCTGGAGTGTGCCCTACAATGATCCCACCACCCCAGGCAACCCTAAGATCCGCCCAGAGCACACTGTGTGGTGTTCCAGTGGTGATTTAAAGGGCTGGGACTCTGGGCTGCCACTGCTGCTACCGTGGCAGCAGTAGGCCCGTCCCCTGGTGGGCCTGAAAACATGCCTGTCTTGGGTTTCCTGATTACCAAAGCATAATAATTAATGCATAATTGCTTCAATGTGCCACTGCTGTGAGGTACCTATTTACTGACAAATGAGGCTGCTCATATTTTGTGCTTAGAAAACCTACCGACCGCTATACTTACCTGCATGCCTCCAGTTTCCATCCCGGACACACCACACGATCCATTGTTTACAGCCAAGCACTGAGGTACAACCGCATATGCTCCAACCCCTCAGACAGAGACCTACACCTACAAGACCTTCAACAAGCATTCTGTAAACTGCGATACCCACACGAGGAAGTGAGGAGACAGATTGACAGAGCCAGACGTGTACCCAGAAGCCTCCTGCTACGGGACAAGCCCAAGAAAGAAACCAACAGAACACCACTGGCCATCACCTATAGTCCCCAGCTAAAACCTCTCCAACGCATCATTAGTGATCTTCAGCCCATCCTGGACAATGATCCCTCGCTCTCACAGGCCTTGGGAGGTAGGCCGGTCCTTGCCCACAGACAACCCGCCAACCTGAAGCATATTCTCACCAGCAACTACACACCGCACCATAATAACTCGAACTCAGGAACCAATCCTTGCAACAAACCTCGGTGCCAACTCTGCCCACATATATACACCAGCAACACCATCACAGGACCTAACCAGATCAGCCATACTGTCACTGGTACATTCTCCTGCACATCCACCAACGTAATATATGCCATCATGTGCCAACAATGCCCCACTGCTATATACATCGGCCAAACAGGACAGTCCCTACGTAAAAGAATCAATGGACACAAATCTGATATTAGGAATGGCAACATACAAAAACCTGTAGGGGAACACTTCAATCTTCCTGGACACACAATTGCAGATCTAAAAGTAGCTATCCTGCAGCAAAAAAACTTCAGGACCAGACTTCAAAGAGAAACTGCTGAGCTACAGTTCATCTTTAAGTTTGACACAATCAACTCTGGATTAAACAAAGACTGTGAATGGCTTGCTAACTACAAAAGCAGCTTCTATTCTCTTGGAATTCACACCTCCAGATCAGCTGCTAGAAGTGGGCCTCATCCTCCTTGATTGGATCCACCTGGTCATCTCCAGCCTGATCCTGGCCTGCATATTTATTCCTGCCTCTGGAAATTTCCACTACATGCATCTGACGAAGTGGGTGTTTGCCCACGAAAGCTTATGCTCCTACACTTCAGTTAGTCTATAAGGTGCCACAGGACTCCTCGTCGCTTTTGCAGATTCAGACTAACACGGCTACCCCTCTGTTAATTAATAGGGTTTTATTAAAATATTAGTTTAGTTTTCCAAGCCACCTCATAATCCCTTTGTTAAAATGTGAGCTTCCCCTCATGCAGCCTAGCACTCTTTATCTGCAGCTCTTCCGTCAGCGGCATGCTGCTTCTGAGCTGTGAATGAGCAGAAGTGAGCCAGAGCTATTTCAACCCACCCTCAGCGCATGGTTTGGGCTTATCTGGCTGGCGAGCCTGAATGCAGCTCAGAGGGGCATGCCTCTTACTGGCCAGCTTTGTGACCAAAGAAATCCAAACACCTCTGGCTTGCACCTTCTCTGAGGCCCTGCCCCACTCTCTACATCTCTTCCCCACCCCCCTCGCTCATTATCACCTGGCTGGGGAGGGCCCCTTTGAAGATTGGACACCTGGCAGCATAATCTCATTCTTGGAGGCTCAAGTGAGGGAGAGCAGGAAGAACAGCTCCGTTTTCTCTCCTCAGTTGGGGCATGTGGCCCTCCACTCCCCCACCCCGTGGCTGGAACAGTGAGTGGGGTTTTGCCTGTTGTGAAATACTTTAATTGTGGCCCTGAGGTCCACCGATCCATAACAACGGGTACTTCAGGCAGCTTGCCATGGGACCAGGCCTACCAGCTGCGGAAGCCCTGGTGATTTCATTCCCCCTCCATGGAGGTAGGCAGGCAGCTCACCTGCCCTCCCTGCTGCAGAGCTTTCTTGAGGGGAAAGGCCAACTCTGTCTTTTCCAGATTGCTGACAGCTTGGTTCTGTAAATGGGTGGGATGAATCCCAGCCACACCATGGCCCACACCGGCACCGTCCATGTCAACACCTTCTAGGGTGGCGCTAACAGCACCGGCGCAATCGATGTTGCCCACCACGGTGGCACTGGTAGGGGCGCCGTCTCTTGGGCAGCTAGACTCTGCAGTGCATTACCTGCATCCGGCACCGAGTTCGGCACCGCATGCAACGTGCGGCATTTGTTTCAGATTCAGTTTTTCCGGTGCCGGCACCGGTATGACCTACTCGGCAAGCCAGAGTCAATGGCCAGGTTTGCGCCCCCAACAGTACAGGCATACTCCTTGTCGGCACCGCCCTGGCCCGAGTCTGATTATTCCTCGGATTCGGATGTGGGCTCAGTTAGATCGGGGTCCTCTAGGGTGTTGTCGGGCCGCAGAGCCTGCTCTCGGCACTGGCGAGATCGGCCGCCCATGCAACAGTCCTGGCCGCCTCAACCGCAGTGGCCGGTC